AAGAGTTTGAACCTTTGACCTCAGGTTTTGAACTCAGGTTTTGAACTTAGGTTTTGAACTCAGTTTTTTTTTAACTTAGGTTTTGAACTCAGTTTTTTTTGAACTCAGGTTTTGAACTCAGGTCCATATTTAAACCTGACTCCTGAGTTCAATTTAAGAATTTTAAGTTTATTTAACTCACACAGTCTCTCAGGTTTTGAACTCAGGTCCAGATTTAAACCTGACTCCTGAGTTCAATTTAAGTTTATTTAACTCACACAGTCACTGAGAACGCAACTCAGGTTTTGAACTCAGGTTTTTTTTAACTCAGGTTTTGAACTCAGGTCCATATTTAAACCTGACTCCTGAGTTCAATTTAAGTTTATTTAACTCACACAGTCACTGAGAACGCGTGTGTGGAAGAGTCTGAAGAGTCTGAAGAGTCTGAACCTTTGAAGTTTGAACGCAGTTCCATATTTAAAGTTTTAAAGTTTTAAAGTTTTAAAGTTTTAAACCCTTTTATTTGAACTGCATCTTATCTTGAATGGATTTAATAAATTTTAATTTAATTGTGGAAATATTTTTAAATCTTGAATGGAATCCATGGATTGAATAACTGAGTGCAGGCAGGCCCGTAGATTTCCGAAAGGCTGGCGCCGCCGGTTATCGACCGCCACACTCTGTTTTTTTTTTTTTTTTTTTTTTTTTTTTTTTKATGATGAGAACTGCTGGACTCTTGCTCTCGCGAACTGGAGAGATGGACTTTAATGGAATTATTATGGGGGTAAAGGGGGTGTACCGGTATGATTCCACTTTTGAACACCGTGTCCTGGCTGTAGTGGTTAACATACCTGGCTCTTGAGACCGAGGTCGCTGGTTCAAATCCCTGCTTGCACGGCGGAGAACGTCGGGCTCATGCTGGGATGGGTAGCGCCATCCTGTAACCTCAGCTGTGGGGGAGCTAGATGTGCAGATTCACTTAGCTGCTGCATCCACCCTTGAAGGGTGCGGCGGTCCATATGCTGTGCCATTCAGTAATTTGCGAACTGGGGCCAAGTCCCACTTACACTGATCCTTGATTTCTGGTCGATGATCTTCCAAATCTGCGGTCAGAAATCGATCATTCGGGTAAGTGGGACTTGGCCCCTGGTGCACCCTTTAAGGTGCAGGTTTGCAGGAGAGCGAGGGTGCTTTTGCGGATGCATCAGTTCGCTAATTACCGAAAGGCTGGTGCGGGTTATCGACCGGCGCACCCTTGCTCTCACGAACTTGCTGACTGCTGCATGAATTTGCAATGAGCGGAGACGTGAAAGGAAAATGAGAAACAGTCCTTTTTTTCGCAACTTGGGGTCTATATTGGACGGGCTAGACGGGGCGAACATGACGTACGGGCGGAGAGGATGGACACTGATAAAGAGGCAGCGTTGGACAAACCTGGAACCAGAGGGGTGGACACTGCCGCAGGGGGACAAAAGCTCGAAGGAGAAAGAACGAAGTAGTAGTCGGAGGGGGAGATGGATGGGTGGAGAGGATGGCAACAATGAGACGGCAAAGGGAGAAGAGGTGTCTAAGGGACAAGGGGTAGAAGCGGGAAGGGTGGATTTGGGAAGTAGCCTGGCCACGTGAGATAGGGATCCAGGGGGGAGGGGAAAGCAGAAGAGACGAAGGACAAACAAGATGCCGGGGGAGGGCTGCAACAGGGGGACCCTTCAGAGACCACCGGGGGACTGGGTGCGAAGAAGGAAGGGAAAGAGAAGGGGGAGGAGGCAGTGGATGACATGAGGCAGGCAACAGAAATACTGAAAGCCCAAAGTGAGAGGGAGGGGGGGGGAACTGAAGAGGAACCTCCATCAGGCGAGTCGGGAACGGGACGAACCGGGGATCGACCAGAATACGACCTGCCCATTATTAGGGAAAGTGACAAAGGGAGAGACCGCTGACCGGAAGTAGAAAAAGAACCAAGCAGGTGACTACGGGACCACCTAAGACCTCATCTTCAGCTGAATGCTTCCCAGTCCCAGCGTTCTCCTCGGCTACGGCAGGGTCTTCAAGGCCAAAAACCGCCCAGAATCAGGGGTCGAAGCGGCGATCACAACGCGAAGCAAGAGAGAAAGGGAGCAAACTCCGATGGAGGGGACTGGACAGAAGCGAGATATTGGTTGAGAGGGAGTCACAGGGATATCTCCCCCTCGTCTTCTGCCTCCCCTATTCCGAGGGATGCGAGCTTTGGATGTTTGGTGGGAGGGAGAGCAACGGGCCCGCCGGGGTGGATGATTACTTGACAACCTCTGAGGAGGATAGTTCAAGTAACTCGGGGATTGCCCAATCAGAGCAGCAGTATGAAGAGAAAAAACAGAGGGACCAGGAAGAGGAGGAGGAGAGTTGGGGAGGGGGAGAGGGGGAGGATGATGCGGACAAGGAACGTGAAGAGAGAGGGGAGGAGGAACAAGTGGAACGACAAAGTGCTGAGTGCCAGGGGCCAGATAACGACGGAGAGCCGATGCAAGAAGAAGATCAGCAGTCGGAGCAGCCAAAACAGCCAGGGACATACTCCGAGGTTGCTGAAGAAAACAGAGGCAGACAACAGCAAGGCCCGCTGACCGAGCTAGTAAGGCAAGAGCGAGCGGAAACGGGGCTGCCGACCATCTTGCAAGAAGGGGAGTGCTTGCTACATGTTCCCCATCACCTTGTGGAGGACGCCCCGGTACATAAAGCTGCTCATGGACGGCGCAATGGAAGTGCCTATTTTTAGTGTCAATAATCTACCGCGAGAACAGCACGTCCTGAGGCACGTGTAGCACTGGCTCTTGTCTAGCTACGAAGTCTAGCCACCGCCGGGTATGTCAGCACTAAGGTTTATCAGGCACACACCCGAAGAAATGGAATATGCAGTTATCATGTATTTTGTTGAAGCTATCCCCCAAAAGCCGGGTCAGCCGAGGATGCAGATAGGGAGTTTGCAATGGGTCGCATTCGCAGAGGTTTTTGGTCTGACGGCAACCCCACAGCGATTTCACGTCATCCATTTGACCTCCCTCGCCATCTTCAACAGTGTCAATGCATGCCTGTCACAGAACGACCAACTGGGGGGGAAACAAATCTTGCAGGGAACGGGGATTTGGGAAAGGGGGGAGGAACCAAGGAGGATCATATTATCCTGTAGCCTGTAGGGTGTCACAGGAAATGTGGCATTCCCCCAACATAGGGAATATACAATAGGTTGGGGTAGGTGTTAGTTAGAAATGACAGGAGGATGGAGAGATCTTGATACGGTAAGACACTAGGTAGGGCGGAGACGAGGTGAATGCCGGGAGGTAGAAGATGTAATCGGTTGACGGTCTTGACATGGAATGTCAGAGGATTGGGTGCACGGTCGCTCCACAACAAACTCAGGGAGCTAGCGGCAAAGGTGAAGGCGGAATAGATCGATGTGGTTTGCTTGCAAGAGACGAAGCTTGATGAAGAAAGGACGGCCAAGCCGAAGCTGAGGTGGAAGGGGCAGCAGATCTGGGCCCTGGTGCTGGGCACGAAAGGAGGGGTCTGCATTTTGGTATTCACCCACTCTAGAGGGGAAGTCAAGGACTGGTTCTATGATTCAAGGGAAGATGGCCATGGGTAGTCCTGCAGTGGGGAGAAGAGATATCGGGGGTCGCCACAGTGTATGGCCCGTCTGAAATGGGTATGCGGAGGAGGATGTGGGAACGCCTCCACACATTGGTCCTGGATGGAGAGAAGATTATCATAGCACGAGACTTCAACTCTGTGATAGATCCGAATCTGAACTCCGCTACACCGAGGCACGGAGGTGCAGATTCGCTGGCCCTCGTGGACACTATGACATCTTTGGGATGCACAGATTCTTTTCAGGCACTGCACCCGCATGGCCCTGGTGCTGCAAATTCTCAAAACTTTTTCAAAATCCTATGTAATTTTCTATATTGGACGCTGGGCCCGGTTCCCAGCACGTGTTATACCCCACCCCCCAAAAAAAAAAAAAAAAAAAAAAAGAAAGGATAGAGTCTTTAGACTCCTTACCTTCTGGGGCAGTGCGACATCCGGCAGAAGCGGGCCGGACATGATATGGGCGACGAGTCGACGACGGCCCTCAATGACGCAGTGGAACAGGTCCAGATAACCCCCATGGCTAGGTCAGACCACTCTGCAGTGCTCGCAACTTTCCCGGTAGGAAGCCTGGAGACAGGCCGCCCTCCCCCGAGCAGTACCGACATGGGTGTTCAAGAGTGCTGAATTTTTCAGACCGACAATCGTCCGCAATGGACAGACGACTTCCCGGAAGAGAACCTGCTGAGCCATATGGCGACAACGAACCAGGAACTGCAGAGTACCCTGGTCAAACAGCTATGTAGTAGCCACCTTGTGCACCAGTGAACGGGGGAAGAATATGTACAAAAACTGAAAGAGCTGAACGTGGGACCTGTTGGGGAACTACCGGAAGAAGAATGGTGGGTGGAGCGGGTGGAGGCGGCCAGGGGATGGAGAGAATGGCAGTGGGATGAAGCGATCAAATGGGGGAGGCGAACGAAGAAATCGTGGCTTGCAATAGGCGAGCGAATGTCGTGAAAGTTCTTCGCTTCAATGGGTACGAGGAAGATGGCGCCACTGATGGCAACGATGAACCATCCCTTTGCACCACATGCGACATCTTGAAGTGTGTGACAGACTTCTATAGACAGCTGTTAGCGTAAGAGGAAGGATGGACACCGGCTGATATGGCCGGGAAACCAGAGTTGGAGGTCTGGAGACATGTTCGGAAGCGATTGGACTTGGAGAGCACGTGCAACTTGGAAAAAGACATTAGTCCGGAGGAGGTGGAGAGAGCAATAGTGAAACTCCCCTAGCTTAAACCACCAGTACATCCAGCTATCGGCCGTGGGCCCATTTCGGAGGCCACCTGCTGCCGATTCAATTTATCTACGGCGCTGGGCCTCTGAAATTTTCATAGGCGACGAGTTTTCTTTTCAGCAAGGCTGGGGCTGTGTACTGGCGGTTTAAGGCACCAGGACTGGACGGTATTCCAGTGGAAATGTACAAAGACTTCCGCAATTTCTTTGTGATATTGCTGATTGTGGCGTTCAATGAAGCACTAAGGACCGGCCCTTCTCCGCAAGGCTTTGCAGATGCATACGTTATCCTTTTGTACAAGAAAGGAGCGAAGGCGGACATGCAAAACTGGCGACCGATCTCCATTTTGAACGCGTCATACAATATCTTGGCCAAGGTGCTGGCAACCCACCTGAAGGAGGTGCTACCACAGCTTATAGATTCCACACAGACAGGTTTCATCTCAGGCCGCCAGATCCTCTCCAACGTTCTGCTGGCACAGCAGATCCTAGAGGAAGACCAATGCACGGGTGGCGCAAAGGCCTTCGTGTCAATTGACGTAGAGAAAGCTTATGATCGAGTTCGGTGGGAGTTCCTCATGCAAGGGATGGCGCAAAGACGGATAGGAACTATCTTCCGCAGTTGGATAAGAAAGCTACTGACAGGAGCCATGATAGTGATGTAAGTCAATGGAGTGAGATCGGACAAGATCGGCGGCACCAGATCAGTGAGGCAAGGATGCCCTCTTTCCTTCGCCCTATATGCCATATACATAGAATCAATGCATGACATACTAAGGGCAGACGATCGCTTATGCGGCTTGAAAAGTCGGACCGACTCTGGAGTTGCGGTCAACGGCATTCCCAAACGACTCAGGTGCAGTGATATCCCCGACAGACCAGCAACTGGCCACTTTATTTAAAGGAGGACCTGCAAATCTTTGGCAAATACTCCGGAGCGCGGGTCGATTGGGCTAAGTTGAAGGCCATTCTTCCGCCAAACTTTGATCCGCCAGGAGAGTGGGACATTCCAACAGTGACTGACGAAGAGAGGATGACCCTCCTTGGGGGGAACCTGACACCGACATATGGGGGTGTGGAGCAGATGGCAATGAGAGCTACGGGAGCGGCGGCTCGTCTCAAAGTATGGAGTGCAAGGGGAAGCATGGGCGTTTTTGGTACAGCCAATGTCATCAACAACTCTGTGCTCGCCACCCTCTTGTATGCAGGGGCAGTGCATATGCCGGGAAAACGCACCTTCTGCGATAGCAGGAAGTCGATTCATGCGCACCTGTGGTCGAGCAACGCTAAAGCAAAAGACTGTATATGCAGGTTGGCGTGGAACAAGCTCATTCAACCAAGGCAACCTGGATCCACGTCGTCAGATCATTGCGCTTCAGCTGCGACAGCTGTTGTGACATCTACTAGGAACGCGGGGGAGATGTGGCAAGAGATCACCCGGTCTCATTTGGCCTACGCACTCCGGATCCCGCAGGATCTGGTGGACCTATGCCTGCTGGGTGACAAGGTAATGGGGCACATTCGAAGGGGCACTGTATGGTCAACAAAGCTGGCTCTGTGGAGAAAGCTGCAGATGCAATGTCAGATGCCAGAAACTGCGGACTCGTTCTACAACCAGCTGTTGTTCGGAAACAGGTCTATATGCGATACTGCTGGGGATCCTTTGCCATGGCAGAGCCCGAGAGGGCCCTACGGTTGGAAATGGGCTGTGCAAGGGATCTATAAAGTGGGACACTTATGGGACGAAGCCCGCAGGGACCGGCGGAGGGATGAAGAGTTGCTGGAACCCTTGCAGGGCTGGATGAGGCATCAGCAAAGGCTGAAGGAGCTCAGGGAGGCTATTTCCCCCCCCATTGGATTGAAATATTGAGAAAGGACGAAATCACCCCGGGACAATGGGTGAAGATGAAGGGGGACCCTAGGGAGCGGGCGCTGGACGGGAGAAGGCTACGGGTCACTTGCTGGAGGGGGAACACGGGATACGAAGGGTTGGGGGAACCCCCTGCAAGAGGCTGAACCAGGGGATGTGCAAAGGGAACTGCAGATCTTAACGGACGGGATGGAAACAATATCGGTGTGTGAAGGGGGGAGGAAGGGTGAGAAGCAATACCTACCGTTCCGGATAGCATCCAGATGCCGGGATCTGACGTGGGATCCAAGGGAGTGAAAATGGGTGGCACAGAAGATGCTAAGGAAAGCAGTGCCGATCCAGGAGCTCACCACTAAAAATATCTACAACTCCTTGTTGGAACCGATAGACATCTGTGAAGAACTGAGGAATCGGTGGTCCGGGAATCGGTGGGCCAAGATGGACTGGATACCGGACGTTTATGTCAGCAGGTGGACTCAGCGGAGATGGAAGTTCAACCAACAATGTGCTATCCAGCGAAGCCTCGTTGGCGGACCAGAAGCAGGCGGGGTTGCTGTGGCAAATTTATCACTTGGCAATCCTCCCCACGGTGCAATGGATAGCAACTAAAAGTAGATATAAGGACCGGAGTTGCACCGCGGGGTGTGGGCAAATGGAAACTATGCCCCACCTGTTTGTGTGATGCCCAACTGTCCGGGCCTTTTGGGAATGGTGGGCACAGGAGTTAGTTAATAAGTCCCCGCCGCTAGAGGTCACGAAAACAGACGATGCAGCTCTTCTCTTAGGGACGCCCATAAAAGTGGACAGGGGCGAACCCGGAAACTATGGTGGCAGCAGAGACTCTGCGAGCGGCGGTGCTGTGGCCATTATGGACCCTGCGGAACGAGAGATGTCGACAGGGAACAGCTCCCCCTCTGCAGGCATATAAGGAAAGGGCTTTGGAATGTATCAGAAGTGCCCTTCCGGCGGACTTGCATAGATACAACCATTTAGGATCGCGGAAGGTGGAAGGCTTCTGGGCAAGATGGGGCCCATACCCGCAACTGATTATTCGAGATCCTTGTACAGGCCTTTTGCAGTTCGGCCCCGCCCTGTTGCGGCACGTGGCCCTGTTCGAGGACGATCCTGATCCCGGGGAACGATAGCAAAGGCAGTTAATCGAGTAGGAGGTGTGATGAAACCCAGTGGACACCAGAATTAGTATAGCGGATAGGGCGACATTAGGAGGGAGGGGTCGGCAGGGGAAGGTGTAGGGGGGACCACACGGCTAGGGGGAGAGGGTAGTAAAGGGAATTGAAGAAGTGTAGGGGAATGGGGTGCTGAGGGGACCGACGGGTGGACGGGAGATTCTAGAAGAAACTGTAAAAAGATAGAAAACATGAAACAGTACTAAAACAAGTGGGTGGACTGTGGCGGCAGTGTGGCCTATTATGGCCTGCATAAACATTAGGGATAACCGGAACGCTATCCGGATGTATATGTGCTATGGTAGGAGGGCCTATTAGGGTTTGTATAGAGTCTATAGACATAAGAGGTTGTATAGACGTAAGAGATAAGCGGGACAGGTTCTGAATGAGAACAGTTAGGTACAGGTGGACATGTAACTAAGGGAATAGGCGGGAACCAGATATGAGCTTCAGACATAGGTAAGGTAGGGGGTCTATGTGCGACGTGGGATATTAGAAACAGGTAACCGGATGTTAAGGGGCCTCAGGAACTGGGTAGGGAGCACCCCCCCCGGCACCCTGCCTATCTGAGGGCTGGCCCTACTGCATGACTGGGTGCTGCCAGTAAGCTTCCCGGCCAGTAGGGCAACCACCTTGCCCACCCTGAAAGGCTAAGGATAGGGGGGGGGGAGGGAGGGGGTTGCTCCAAAACAGTTGCCCCTTGCCAGGCGTCTGGGGCCGCAAGGGACAAGCTGGTCCTCTGTCTTGTCTGTTCTCACCCCTTCTTCTTTTCAGATGTAAAAACATGCTTGTCGGTGATGAGCAACCGGCCTGAGCCCCCCAGAATAGAAGTGGCAAAAAACTTTGAAAAAAAAAAATAATAATAATAATAAAACAAAAAAAAAAGAAGCAAATTTGAATCGGAAAAAAAATAAAAAAAAATCAGCGGTGGTGTGTAACACTGTAAAGGAGTTTAACCAAAACTTGACTGGGCAAATTTGAAATAATGTTCCAGCCGCTATTGAAATGTGCACGTGGACGCGGAAAAGGGGGGGGAAAGCTAGATAGCCCCCACTGGTTCAGCTTTTTCGTGACGACGAAAGCTATAGATAGCCCCCACTGGCTATCTAATATGATAATCTTTATAAAAAAAAAATAATAAAAAAAAAAAGATAATATCTATAGCTTCTTTTTCTAACAACTAGAAATCGCTTTTTAGCCCGTGGCTATCTAGCTTTTGCCTCAGCTTGGTAACTTTCGGCTCACCTTTTTTTTTTCTCGCTCAGCTTCCAAACTTGGTTAACCATGAACCAGAAATTGGTTAACCATGGTTGCTGTGCTTAACTTTTGCCATGGTTAAACTTTTGCCAGCACATCGCCCAGGCAAACTTGAGAGCCGTAATCGTTAATCGGACCCGGTTTCCAGCAGGTGACGCTCCCCACCAATAGATGGAGCCTCTCCCCAGGTGAGAAAAAAAAAAAAAAAAACATAAATAAAAAAGAAATAAAAAATCCAGATCTTACTATACTAACGAACTCTGAGCAGAAATTGGATTGCTGTTTGATGATCCAACTGTAAACACTAAAACACTTTTTTGTTTGTGTGTTTGTGTGTTTGTGTGTATGTGTGTTTGTGTGTTTGTGTGTTTATGTGTGTGTGTGTGTGTGTGTGTGTGTGTGTGTGTGTGTGTGCCGTTGATACAGGTGTTTGTCTCGTGTGTTGGTTGTTTGACGTGTGTCTCTCTGGTTTTCTCTCTGTATTCTCTCTGGTCGCTTTCTTTTCTGGTTCTTTTTTTTTTTTCTGAATGAGAAGCGGCGGATGTGTTTTGTATGGTACAGGCATGATTTCTGCCATCGCGTTTTTCAGACGGTTGGTTGGCAGATTGCTATCACTACCTTTGCGCCATTTGGTGGTGGGTGGGGGGGAGGGAGGGGGAGGGAAAGGGGTTGGGGGGGGGGAATGGTTAGGAGGAGGAGAGAAGAACAGGAATGTATCTAGTACTATCTACAATGTAGTATGTACATTTTAAACATTTAATATTTAGTATAAAAATTAATAAAATTATAAATAATAGAGTTAGATAGACGATTGTAGTGTTATGATTTATGGTTTAACCTAGCTTTTGTTTTTTACCTTTCTTTTTCTGCCACTTTGATTTGGTGGATCACAGGATTTTATAATATATTTTGTTATTTTATATTTATTTTATATTATATTTTATATTAATAATAAATATACATGGTAGTGTAATTGTGAGAGTTTCAAGGAAGTAGAAGAGGATGAAAAAAGAGAGAGGAAGAAGAGAGAGAGAGGGGAGGTGAAGTAAGTGGGAGGCATGATCACCACACAGGTACATTCATTGTGTTGTTGTCAGCGGAGCGAAGATTTCTGTTTTTTTTTTTGTTGTTGTTCCAGGCGGTTGGCAAATGTGTCGACTATTCGATCTTCATCTGCACATTTAGAATTTTGTTTTGTTTTTCGATTTTTAAATTTTAATTGAATTTTTTTTTATGGCAAGTTCTGCAGCAACTTCGGCTCCTTGTCGATCGGCACTTCCAAAAAAAGACCCTTTTTTTGGGGGGGGGGGATTTGTATACAATTACTGTGAGTAGAGGCCGGCGGCCCATGTTTTTCCACGGACGCCGGATGGTACAGAGGCTACACGACCCGGGCAAATGCCCGGATTCCACGAAGTCCTTCGAGCTCGTTCCAGGGAACGCAGTACTCGACATATCAACAACAAGCTTCTCTTCGTTCTTTTCCCCGATCACATACCACGATTATGAGGAGAAAGAGAGAGAGAGAGAGAGAGAGAGAGACCTGTCTCTTATACACATCTAGATGTGTATAAGAGACAGGAGAGAATGGTTATAATCCTGTCTATCTTCACATGCAACCAGGCATAGAAAGACAATGTCGTTCGATTGATTTCAACTGAAATGAAAGAACTTGGAAAGAGAAATAAACAAGGAAGAAGAAGAAAGAAGAATGGAAGAAGAAGTAGAAGAAAGCGAAGAAGATGAAGATGAACACCAGCAAAGACCGAAGTAGATCGCCCTTGATCTCGCCACCGTCTCTTTAACCCCGCCATTTACTCCAACTTCTTCTTAAATCACCACTACCTCTGTCACTCTTGGGAAAAATGGGAAAAATAAAATGGATGTTTTCCCACTTTTTCCGAACTTTTCGGGGTTCCGTGGAGGTTCGGCAGTTGGAGCTTGTGGGCCCGTCCGAAAAGCAAAAAGAAAAACAAAAGACCAAGTCCGGGAAGGCCGTGCACGAAGTTGTGCTCACACCAATACTCACAAGAAAGTATCTAACTATGATCGTGGCCAGTTTCAGGTTTTCGTTGCTCGTGTTTTCGTTTTGTTTCTTTTTTTTTTTTTTTTTTCGTGCCCTGCCAGGGAGGCACGGGGCAGTCCACAGTCTGCTGACACTTTGTGAAGAAGGGCATGCCCACACTACAACTTTGCGGAATGTATGAACCCGTTTTCCCGTCCTAAGTTCAGTTTCAAAAGAAAAATTCCCTCTTCTCGTCTTCCGTGGACCTGATACCCCTGCCGTAACGCCCTTACTGAGGGGATACTCATGCAACATCTTTGGGGCAGGTATCTACCTTGTATCACGTCCAGAGGGGTGTTCGTTTTTTTTCTTTTTCTTTTTTGTGGCTGTGAGTACGTCGTTTTTGGAAAGTCTGGCCGTGCGTTTTTTGTTTTCCTTTTTCAGGAGAGCACCAGAAAAGAAACACAACGGACCCCAGGCTCGGCAAAACTCGGTGCGCAGTGAAAATCAGGGTCGGCAAAAAGAGGCTCGGAGGTAGTGGTGGTTTAACAGCAACAATAATAATAAGAATAATAAGAATAATAAGAATTATCAGAATAATATAATAATAATAATAATAATAATAATAATAATAATAAAACTAATAATAATAATAACAATGAAAGAATGAACCAGAGCCAATGTCTGAATCCTCTCCTTACAGCCAGGCACTTAAGAGGTCCACCATAGCCATTGCACACACCTTCCTCCTCGGTCGAGCAGGTGGCTATGGTGGACTGAAAGAGCGGAGCTCCGATGTTCAAAGGACAACACAAAGCTAATGTGTCCCTCCTGCTATGCCTATCACCACACCCGATGTCTTCCTTGTAGAGGCCAAGTCCACCAACTGGGTCCTTCCAGGTGCAGTGCCAAGCAAGAAGATGAGGATGCAAACCACCATAGCCAGGTAAGCACCCCCCGTCACTCTTGTCTGTCCTCTCCATCATAACCAGAGAAAGATTTTTCGCCTTTTCCAATGTCGACCTGTCAATAAGCCAGTCATTCGTAGGTAGGCGCCTATGCTCTATCTGGCGTTGTAGTAAAGCCACTTTTGCAGGTTTAATTTTGATCTTACTGAACCATTTTACGTTTCTTAATGATTCTTTATTGACATTAAGATGCTTCATCCATCTTTTTTTTTTTTTTTTTTTCTAAAATTTTCTAACACTGTCTTATTCCCTGCCGAGCTTTCCCAGGCCTCAGGCCCCCATCCTGCTAGGTTACAGGGCAACACAGCTCACCCCAGCTCCGGCCAATGTTCTACCGACAGCGACCCTTGGTTTTCCTTTGGAATGCCCGACCCAAGGCATCCCAGATCATCCATCTTTCTTCTACCTTGTCTTTTAAATTAATCTCAGGGCGAAGCATCTTGTAAGTGGATACCACTGACAACGTGTGAAGAGCACAAAAATACTTTCTTCCTTTGCTTCTTGCGTCAGACCACTTCCAATTAGCAGGATCAAGGGTCAGATGACTTATAGGTGTATTAGGTTTTAAAGGCTATCCATTTATCTTTGTGCCTCAATACTCTGATCCTGATAGCCTGATCTTTTGTCACCCTCCTTATGGTATGATGGTTCTTGATTATAACGATGTGATTACTATCCATTTCATAGGTAGTGAGGAGGGTCTCCCCATTCTCCAAAACTACAACAATACTACCTAAGATATTTGAATGATCTTTCATAGCAACCCAATCACTCTGCAGTCAATAGGTCCCTTTTTTTAAATCCTTACCCAATCCAAAGATATCAAGTCAATAAAATCTTCTAAAGCTCTCTCAGAATGATGACAATACATAAGGTGGGTCTGTA